ATGCAAGAAACAGAAGGGGTTTGTTAGGTTTGTGAAGCCATGCTCCTCTTAAGTACTTAGCTTTATGAGAGTTTCTACAGAATAGTGGAATATCTCTTCACTACCAGGTAGGCTCCAATACTTTTGCCTCCATAGGACTGGAGTGCAATGTTTTTCATTCTTGCTTTTTTAACATCTGCATTGGTATGATGCGATTTGGCATATTTGATGACAACATACTTATTAGTAGAATTTTATTTTGGGGCTTATGGTTAATAATGAAAACAACTAAGCAGTAGAACTATGCTGGATGTTTTCTGCTTTTAGTGCTCTGTGTGTGAGAGATTTCGGGTGTTATCTCTCTTTTGGATTGGTGCCTGAGTGGGGGAGGCTTAAAATGGGTGATAGCACGTAGCCTTTTTATGGAAGCTTCGGGATTTAATGTAGATATATGACATGACCTAAGGTAGAGTTGAGTTGTGCAGTGTTTAAGAGGAAGAAACTAAAATGCTTAATAGTACATCTTTGTTCACATTTTTAAGACTGAATATTTGAGCTATGTTTTCCCATTTTCTGCTGGAAGTAAGAATATTGCCTGTGGAGCGATTAGGGGAGTTTGGAGTTGAAGTATTTTGGACAGTAAAACCATAGTGGGTGTTTCAAGAAAAGGTGAAGCTGAGCAGATGAGTTCAGTTCTCATTTCAATTTTTTTTTTCATTGAAAAAATAAAGTCCTTGTTCCAACAAATCTCAGCAGCTCAGAACAGCCTATTTTCCTTATCCTGGTGTTATCAGTGTGATTGCGTTATCTTAGCTTCATTCACCTTCTTGTACCATGGATTTCCTCTCTTGAAGTCCATTATTTTCTTTCTTGGCTGCCTCACACCTCATTGTGTACTCAGCTCAAATTATACTTCTAAACACTGGGGCTAGGTCTTATTTTGAACTGGTTGTCATGTCCTTAATGCGGGCTGATGTATACTTGATATGACTACTTGATGATATAATTACCAAGCATAGAATTCATTCTAGCTGTAGAATAAATGCATGATGGTAGACAGCTGGATTTAATGCTACTGAGGTTTTTAAAAACATGAAGATAATCCTTTCTGAGTAGGTGAGCTGTTAGGAGTCCATGGCTAGTACTGTGCGAGAATAATTTAATTTCCTTTGGACAAAGGCACCCAACTCTATTCACACAGAAAATGAATAGCTTCACAATATGGGGATGGAAGGTTTGAGGACAAATTGATTCCTGCATAATAGGAGGAGACTGTCAATCAAATTCAATCCATGTTACTATAGGATGTTTAAATCTATGTGTAACGTCTGTGATAAGGATATTTTGATTATTCTGTTCTATGTAATTTTTAAGCTGCTTGCCTTTAATGGTACTGTCTGTTCCTTTTTGTAAGGGTGGGGAGGTGGGGAATAGCATTTATGTGAAATCCTAAATTTTACAGTGCTTCTGTAGAAATTAATCATACCTACAACATAATCAAGCAGGGTTTTTTTTTCATGAAATGCATTGAAAATGGATTGGAAGAAATTAATTTTATAGAACGGTACATTCTACATAGCTTGGAGTTTGCCATGTGTTTTTTGCCTTTCAAAGTGCCTTTGTTGGAAAGGAATTATTCTGTATTTAATGTTGGGGGAGGGAGCATTTTTACATAAGTTAACTACCCATGCCTTGTGAATATTAACAGCAGAGACTGGTGGTGAGATGTGTACTGATTAAAAATCCCTCTCTAAGGAGCCCGTATACACTCGATGGCTAACTTAACTTCCTTTGTTCTGCACATACAGGACTATCAAATATACTTGCTTTCATATACTTTATCTTAGCTGTCATGGGTCTTTCAAGTAGTGACTTTCAGAAGTAACTTCTGAATGCCATAGGCAAGTGGGGAAAACTGCACTCTGTTACCTTACTGCTCCTTAAATCACTCTGTTTCCTTAAAAAGAGTGTGGAGGGAAGTGTGTGCTTGCATTCGTAGTGCAGTAATGTAAGACAGTAGGCAGAGTATGCAATAGCCAAAACCCTCGAAGTGTAGCATGAATGTCTGTCTGTTGGAAACTTGCTGCAGGGATACAGCTATTTTATTTCTTGCAATTTGATATCAAGCAAGATTCACACACACACACACACACACACACACACACACACACACACACACCAGGTGCAACCATCCAAAGCCTGGTTCTCCTGTTGTAGTTGTATACCATCCAACATGGAACACATGTCCGTATAGCTAGAAAGCATGAAGTAAATACCAATAGAGTATTTGCCCAGCCACAATTACCTGATGTGCTGAGTAGAAGCAGCTTGAGTAAAATTATTTAAAATATCTCTGGTAGAATTTCAGCTACCCTCATGCCTCAGGATACTTGCTTTGATCCTGTCTTGCGACCAGCAGTGCCCAATCTGTACCTGATCTGACACACAAGCTGAACTTCCATTACTTGCAGGTTTAGAATATAAGTATTAGTTTGAATAGATCTTGCTATAATCTCACTAAACAGAAGTAGGTAGTGTCATTTTTGGCTGAATTTAACAATTTTGTGTGATTTGAATATGTGCCGTGTTGCACCTCTTCGGAATCAGCTGTGTATTTCAAGGAAGCAAGACCTAATATGTTTTCTGTTGATTTCACTTGTTGGACTTGAGTGCTCTGCTTGGCGTGAGAGGAGGGCTGTTCTTTTGAGGACAGAAAGCCTCTAAGGCAGTAAGGTCTGAATGTGGGATATAAAACCTGTCTGGGTCAGATCAGTTCATCTAACTGTCTATTCTAGTCTGAAAAGTAACTTGCAGCTCACAAGCCTGGCCACTTTAATGCAGTCCCTTTCCCTCATATTTCCACAGCATTCCCAGAGTTGTCTCAAGGCTGTTTAAGGGTATATCCTTGTCTAATCTTGGTTTACTAAAACAGCAGGTACAATGTACAGACTTCTTTAAAATAACACACTGTACATGCTATAGATCTAATTTTGACCTTTGGAAGGAAAAGTGAGACTTCAGATAGCTTCCAGAAATATTTTGTTGATGTGTAATTGTTTCCGTAAACTAGGAGGAGTTGGCCATCAATATGAAAATGTTAACTCTCAGATTTCCATGCTGCTTATTTGTAGTGCTAGACCCTTTGATGTCTTCTGGTATAGTTGCTTCAGGTGGCAGGATGGATGATAGTTCCATTGTGCAGACTTAAGTGTTACTGTGCAAGGAGCGTAGTGCATTTGTTGATTTTTTTTTTTTAATTTTTATTTTTTTCCCTCTTTTTTTGATGTTTGAAGTCTTGATGAAGCTTATGCAAGGAAAGAATATGGTTGGTTACTTTTAAGTGTGAAGCTGTTTTAAGAAAGTACATAAATTTTGCCAGTAACTCAACCTAAAGCCTTGATTGGATCATGTTTTTGTCAGGTGGTGGGAATCATTTGGAATGCAGCATTGAACATTCGTTGCCATCCGTCAGTCAGCAAGCAGTTTGGGTATTTTCTTACAGATTCCTGTGAAAGATTCACAAAATAATGTTCATTAGAAGCAAGCTGTTGCCAGTCATTTCCTTTTTAACTGATTTGTAAATTCACTTTGTGAGGTATCTTAGCACTTGGAAACAGAAATATCTGTGATACCCCTGTGTTTTTGAAAGATAAATAGCAACAATGGTTAATTAAATATTATTTATGACCCCAAACCCTCCTAAGTTAGGAAATTGCAAAAGGCATGGGCTGTGTGTTCATCAGTTACTTCAGCATTTGTCATGAACATGAATTAGTCTTAATATGCTGAAGAAGCGGATTCAGAACCCATGGTGTTTCTTGATGCTTTAGAAGTGTGAGTCTACAAACACTTCCAATAAGCTGCAGATTTGATCTAAAAAAACCCCAAGCCCCAAAATACTAACTAGCATGAAATATTAAATACAGAGGAAACTCTAAACATGGGATTTGAAGTGCTTTGTAGGATGTAACAGTACTTCCGCTGTGGGATTAACTTTTTTGTTGAGCAGAAATTGGCTTCACTGTGCATCTTCATCGGTGACCTTGACTCCTTCCTTTCAGTGAACAGGGAGGATGAAGCAGTCAGGTATGCAGGTGATACTCAGACAGCCTGACTGATAAGTTTCAGCCCATGAACTGTGAAAATTGAAAAGACTCTGATGTGCTTGGCTTCCTGAAAAATTTAGAAAGGAGTCAGGGTTTAAATGTTATAGAATAACATTTGAGTCACTTGCAAAATGGTGACATCGTGCAACTGTACCCGTTTGAGAAGGACGCCTGCAAAACTCCTTATACTTTGCTTACTCGCATCCCTGCTATTCCATTGCTGTATTTGCTCACTTGCTTTTTGTTTTGGTTTTTGTGAATTTAATCAAATATTAAGGAATTCGATGTATTGTAGAAATCAGACAGCTAAAGTGTTGTATAGGAATGATGACAGGAACAGAATTTGAAGAATAAGGATCTGTATTTCGGCTTTTTTCAAAGCCGGCATGAATGAATGCGTTTGCAAACTGGGGATTCTTTAGACCGGTCAGTGGTTTGCGCTTTGTTGATAGAACAGTGCCATCTAGTGACTACTCTCGTAAAGCTAGGGAGAAATTGCCAAGGGAAAATGTTGGTAAGAGCAGATTGCATAGATTGCAAGGTCAGATGGTTTCACAGCTGTAAAAAGACAGCTTTGTAAAAGGTCGAGTAAGCTGAAGTCTGATCCGTTGTACCTTGAGGTGGAACCACTGCCAAAATGGTCCTTGCATGAGGCTGTGGTTGGAGGTGCTGGGAACTGCACACGAGGAGGATGCCTTTCTTATAGAGCCAGCCACGGATCTAGCACTTGCAAGATTTTTGGCTTCAGTTAGCAATTTAATTACCATAAGATATTTATAAACACTTTTTTTCCCCCCCCAAAATGCTGCCATAATTTTTAGGTAAAGGTAACTTAGACTTTTTTTTAATTTTTTTTTCAGTGAAAGTAAGCATTTAAACAGCATATGTACTTTTTTTTTCTCTGTTTCTTTGCAGCCTGATCACATCCTGTCACCTCCGCCTGTGCCTTCTCAGAAATCCAGCAGTCCTGAAGCCTTCTCTAGTCCTGAAAAGTCTGATACATCTAAGAAACAGCTGAGTGAAGATGGGAGAAATCTCAGAAGGGGAAGCCTTGGAGGAGCTCTAACTGGTGAGTCTGGGGCGTGTGTAAAGTTACCAGGAGGTTTAGCAGCTGTGAAGCTGATGGTGCCTTGACCCCTGGCGTTTGCCTTGTGGACAGACATTTTGGAAGAGATGTGAGCTCCACCTGGAGTTTCCATAAAGTCTCTTCCACATGGGCTTCCTGATTGTAAGTAGAAGGAGCTCATGTTTGAAGCTCTGCTTCCGTGGGGTGCTGATAGGTGGCCAAGCACCTATTTCAAGCCTGAAAATGACCCATTTCCTGAAATTTTCAGGAATATGGCGTTTATCTTGCTGACTCAGTTTGGAGGCTTACGGGTTGTTTGAGATGTGCTCACATGCATCCATCAGTGGGATCACATACATCTTACTTTCTCAAGGTGCTGAAATGCACAGATGGTCCCTCTAGACTTGAGTTCATTAAAGAAAAAGCAGTTTGGTCTCATTTATCTGCTGGAGTCCGTGCAAGGGAGGAGGGGCATTACCAGCTAGCCACTAGCTGTAGACTTGCAAGCTCTCCATGGAACCATGTAAAGAGGTATCAGAATGTTTGAGGAGGGCTCAGGCCCTCCCTGACCTGACAGTGTCTGTGGAAAATGCCAGATGCTGAAATCACTATTGTGTCCTGAGAGCTGTATGTCTGCATACATAATGATTGATTTTGAGCAGCTAGTGAAATGAATGTGAAAACATTGGGACAGTTTAACTAGCACTTAATTTCTGTATTTCAAGAAAAAGAATTTCTAAATTTGCTAGAATTCAGCAATTAAATATATTCCTGAAATGCACAGCATCTAACAGTATGAAGAACATGCTGTGAAGAAGAGGATATTAAGTTGTCTTGTGCTTTATGTGAAGGAAAGACAGATACTACTACAGGAACTTCTTGTGTCACATCAGCACATAATCATTGCTGTGATTTTTAGTGTCACTTGGGTAAGATTTGCCATTTCCCTTGTGCCTTTATTTTTATCAAGAGTTGTATTATGAAGATTTCAGGAACGATAGATTTCTCTGTGTGAGCTTTCATGAATGATAAGTGGCTTACATCAGTCTGAAGTATAATATGGTTTCGCGAACCATGTTGGTGAATTCTGGCTTATCTGGAGTATTGATACTCTAAAAACTTGAACTGTAGATCAGACTAGTGCTTACTGATACTAAACATTGCCAGCATACAGTTTATTATTTCAGCAAGAGTTGGTGTAGGTTTTTAATTTTGTTTTTAACTTTAAAGTAGGATCATGGTCTGTAAAAATTGAACTTTTCCATATAAGCTCTCCAGATAAAGAGGAGGGAGACAGCCTAATCAAAACCAAACAAAGCAAATGTGCTCTGCTGCTGTAATCTCTGGTCTTTATCTCTACACGTGAATTATTGCTTGAGGCCTTTACAAAGGGGAAATGGATATGCTTTTTGTCTGCTTGCAATATGTTGTGCACAGTTTCATGTCGAGATTTGGGAATATAGTGTGCAATGATTTTAAACTGCTTTATTCCTAATGAACTTTAAATGAACCTGAATACCCTACGGCTTTGGTATCTTAAAATAGTTTAAATATCTTAGCAGCTTTCATGATACTGATTAAATTAATCAAAGTCATTGTGATGACAGAAGGTTGTTAATATTCTTTTGGGACTTAAAAAAAAAAATCATTTTCAAGAACTGTTGCAGATGGAGAACTATTTCCTAGAATTGTTTTTTAATGCCCAGTAATCTGAACTTAATAATTTCAGTGTAACCTCAGACTTGCATTTACCTACCTTTTTTTGCATACTGAAAGTTGGTGTTTTGTGGTTTTGTGGAGTTTCTTAAATGCTGAGGCTCATGGTTTTGGTATGGAACTACATCAATCACAATATCATAAAAAAAAAAAAAAAAAAGGAGGATGAGAAAGCCCTCCATTCAAGAGTGAGCTGTTGTGTCAGTGCACACATCCTGTCCATAGTTTCTGTTTGAGTCTTAGTATTTCTGGAAAGATACTCATGGTCCATAAGGTAAAAAAAATATACTTTGGAAAAGTTCACTTTTTTTTATCACTTTACACTGATTACTGTCTTCTTTTATCCTTTTGTCTTGTTGCTTTTGATACTCTTAAATTAAGTCGTAGCTTAATAGTGGGTATCAGTCAATTGGAAAATTGTTCAGAAAGGTATTCCTGAACAATTCAGTAGCTTAGACAGTTCAGAAATTGTCTAAGGTATGGTCTCTACCCTTGTTCAAAAATGCTACCTTTGCTAATCTCCTACAAATACATTAAGTGAGAGTAAGTAAAGCAAGAGAAGACTGCTAGCTTACAAATTTGCAGGGTATTCCTATGCTGATGCTTGATGCTCTCTCCAAATGTTAGAAGATAAGGGAATTGTGCTTTGTATGCTACTTTGACTTTGCTGTTAAAAACACAATATTATTGAGCCATAGAATATAAGTAGAATTAATGATAAAAACAAGAATAAAGATTTCATTTGTTTATATAAAAAAGAATAGCTCAAATCCTACAGGGCTGAATACTAATAGAGGTAAATAGATCGGGTTTTTATCTCTGGGAATAGATCCCAAATAAATGAGTTTATTGGACTTTATAAGGAGTAATGTTATGCATGACATATGACAAGAAATAAAATCTATATTGTTGCAATATAGTGAATGAGACTTGTAAAACCTGAAGGATTACGGTTACTGAGAACCTACTACTCTGAATTGGCTACTGTAAATTACAAAATTCTCTACATAGGAATTCGAGAAAATTGAAATACTTTGATGTACAAGGTCTTTCCAGTGGGAAAACAAGACAAGGCAGAGGAGGTTTGGAAACTTCCAGAAAGGCAGGATGGAAAGTGGAGTTGTATTCTAGATGGCTTCAGGGAAACTGGAACCCAGTTGGTTTTTTTCCTGAATTGCCCAGTTTTAAGTAATCTTGCAACCACACTTTTCCAGTGACAAGCTAAGAATGCTTTTTTTTTTTTTTTTGAGTTGAAGAAAGCTAAATCCATGTTTTTGCGAATAAATCTGCTGTTGCTTCCCTGAAAATCACTAGGGAACCACTGGAACTAAGTAAAGTTTGGCCATTAAACAAAATGAATGCTGCTTCCTGGAGACACTGCAATTATGTTCTGGAAAAGACACTACAATCTAATGGTTGTGACAGTGTTGCTTTCTCTAATCTTCATCCCCAAGGATGGGAGGAGGAGCACTGAGAAAGGGAGACTGATTTTGGAATGAAAAGACCTTATTGGATGTAGCCTAGTATTGGTCTAGCAAACCTACTTTAATAATTTGTGTTGTGATGTGCTAGCAGTACTGCTTAGCAGAAGAGAGGATGAAAAATAATATTTAATAATGGGGGTTGCTAAACATAAGCATTCATGAGATAAAACAACTTCAGAGTAAAAGTATTTGATAGTATTTATGACCAGTTCCTCTTTTAATTTAAAATGTTGTGTTTCCAAAGGATTGTAATGTTTTGGGTAGCACGAACACTTATACAATAGTGCTTGCCTTTTTATTCTGCTGCTGCGCCTTCCGTGCTCCAGCTTCCCCCTTCCTTACGTGCACTCATTCCCATAACAGCGCTTGTGACATCCTTTAAGTGGGAAGAAAACTGGAGTGTTAAGAGTTCTGCTTGTGTCTGAACTGAGTAACACGCAATCCTCACACAGTTTGTTCAACTGTGGAATAAGCTCTGTCGCAAAGCTGAGTTGTAGTTACTTATCTAATAGCCTTAGGTCAAATGGAGAGGGAAAAGTTCATTGCTTCAGAAGAATGCTGGTGCACCCTGGGTGCCAGGGGCGCTGGAGCAGTGCTGGACAGACTGACAGCAAAGCCTGGTCAGGCGAGATCAGCTCTGTTCTTCTTGGGACAATAGACCTCTGTGAGTACACATGTATTTAAACACCTCCTCCCCAGCCTTAAGTTGTCTTCTTAAGGATTCCTAGCACTGCACAGACTGGGGCTTCAAAACTTGTTTCTAATCAGGAGAAAAGATGTTTAATTAAAAAGCTGCTTTTCTGTGGTGGCTGGTTTTCTTCATCTCCACAAGCTTCAAAGAGCTGTCTATAGTCAGGGTTTTTGGCTTAAATTCTCTACAGATTTTAGTTTGCTGTGTTCAGAGATGCTTTAATGGAATTAATGGCAGAAAGTAATGTGAAAGGCTGAGAAATTAAATGAAGCTTTTACTGTGGAGGGGGTTAACCTGCAAATCACTTGAACAAGCAGATCGAATTGGCCTTGCTTTCATGTCCCATTGCTGCTGCTCAGTTTGCACTGCAGTGTGCAGTGTAGCTCTGTTCAGTGTCGTCATTTCATCTGGTGCAGCATTTGGAGATTGCCATCTACCTTTCTACTTCTGAAAGGTACAAGAGCTTATTGCTGTGAAGAGTTCGTATTTTGCAGAACGCTGCAGCTAACTCAGTTGTCTCTGTCCTGATAAGCTCTTCAGTTAGATACATAAAACAAAAAAAAACCAAACCCAAACCACTTTGTTACTTATAGTTTGAACCTCTTATCTTGCCTCTAGTTATCTAATCAATAACTGCCTGGAAGCAGACTTCCTGCTGGGCTAATTGTTGCTAGTTGTGGTAGGGCTGTTACCTTGCTAACATTAAATTGATCTTACACAAATACTGGTGATGTAACACGTAGAGACTTAATTTTATAGAATCTTTAATCCAAAGATCCTAAAGCACTTTACATTAATGAAGTGGTCAAGTAGATTTAGATATAGTAAGAGCTAAAACCTGAGAAATCTTGGGTTGTATATATTTATATATTTTTTTCTTCTCTAATATTGCTGCTTTGATGTGCTTTCTACCTCCGAGTCATCAGTCATCCAGATATGCTCAGCAATTATTGTTATAACCATATAACTAATCTGTGGTTAATTTGAAATGGATTTAGGGATCCTCAGTCTGTTTTTTGCATCAGAGATTCATCACTCTACTAACACTAATTAGCAGGAAGATCAACAGCTTTATGGGACATGAAGAGGAAGGTGTTCTCTTATCCATGGGT